TCTGTGTCTCTGTGTCTCTGTGTCTCTGTGTCTCTGTGTCTCTGTGTCTCTGTGTCTCTGTGTCTCTGTGTCTCTGTGTCTCTGGGTGTCTGTGTCTCTGTGTCTCTGTGTCTCTGTGTCTCTGTGTCTCTGTGTCTCTGTGTCTCTGTGTCTCTGTGTCTCTGTGTCTCTGTGTCTCTGTGTCTCTGTGTCTCTGTGTCTCTGTGTCTCTGTGTCTCTGTGTTTCTGTGTCTCTGTGTCTCTGTGTCTCTGTGTCTCTGTGTCTCTGTGTCTCTGTGTCTCTGTGTCTCTGTGTCTCTGTGTCTCTGTGTCTTTGTGTCTCTGTGTCTCTGTGTCTCTGTGTCTCTGTGTCTCTGTGTGTCTGTGTGTCTGTGTGTCTGTGTGTCTGTGTGTCTGTGTGTCTGTGTGTCTGTGTGTCTGTGTCTGTGTGTGCCTCTGTGTGTGCGTCTGTGTGTGCGTGAGTATGTGCATGTGTGTGTGTGCGTGTGCGTGTGTGTGTGTGTGGGTGGGTGTGTGGGTGTGTGGGTAGGTCGTGCAAGCGTGCGGGCGTGCGCTGGTGCGTGCGTGGGTGGGTGAGTGGGTGGGCGCGCGTGTGTGTGTGTGTGTGTGTGTTTGTTTGTTTGTCTGTTTGTTTCTGGTTGGTTGGTTGGTTGGTTGGTTGGTTGGTTGGTTGGTTGGTTGGTTGGTGAGTGTGGGTGTGGGTGGGTGTGGGTGGGTGTGGGTGGGTGGGTGGGTGGGTAGGTGGGTGTCTCTGTGTGTGTGTGTGTGTGTCTGTGTGTGTGTCTGTGTGTGTGTCTGTGTGTGTGTGAGTGTGTCTGTGTGTGTGTGTGTCTCTGTGTCTGTGTCTGTGTCTGTGTGTCCGTGTGTCTGTGTGTCTCTGTGTCTGTGTGTGTGTGTGTCTGTGTGTGTCTGTGTGTGTGTCTGTGTGTGTGTCTGTGTGTGTGTGAGTGTGTCTGTGTGTGTGTGTCTGTGTGTCTCTGTCTGTGTTTGTGTGTGTGTGTGTCTGTGTGTGTTTGTGTTTTGTGTGTGTGTGTGCGTGTGTGTGTGAGTGTGTTTGTGTGTGTGAGTGTGTGTGTGTGTGCGTGCGTGCGTGCGCGTGCGTGCGTGCGTGCGTGCGTGCGTGCGTGCGTGCGTGCGTGCGTGCGTGCGTGCGTGCGTGCGTGCGTGCGTGCGTGCGTGCGTGCGTGCGTGCACGCGCGCGCGGGCGCGGGCGTGGGCGTGGGCGTGGGCGTTGGTGTGGGTGTGGGTGTGGGTGTGTGTGTGTGTGTGCGTGTGCGTGTGCGCGTGCGCGTGCTGCTTCCAGAGGCTCAGAAGCGGCCCCAACAGCTGCGCCCACCCAGGACGAAGGTGGGGGGTCCTTGTTTCTCCTCGGTGCATCGCGAAGGGCCCCATGTGGCCCGTTTATCAGCCTTTCACTAAGATTCTCAGGGCTCATACTAAGCTTATCCTGGGCTCATCCAGGGGTTGACCACCACACAAACCAACCCCAACAACACAGGATGATTGTAGACTAGCTCATGCTCAGCGACGTATTGAGTACCAGGCGTATCAGCTGCAGGCCAAATGCCAAATGGCAGGTTTAGGCGCATGGCAATTAAGGAAGGCGCATGGCAAAAATCGGTGCCATTCAGTGGATTGCACACTCATTGCGTTTGTTTGAAAAAGCCTGTTGGTTTCGTTGGCCGGACTGAGTTTGTGCTTGCTTTTTCCCGAAAGCACTGTTATCACACAGCCAAAATTGCACGTGCCAACTTGCACGAGAATTTTTTGCACCGCCAAACTTGCAAGTGCCCCTTCCTGGCTAGACAGTCAGCAGCGCGAAACCAACTCGCAAAGTGCATGTTCACAGCTACGACTGAAAATCGCAACTTTCAAGCACAATAGTCGCACGCGAAGTACAATTGCGCAGCTTCGGCTGGAAAATCACAACCAGTACAAAACTATTACGCGAAGTACACTTTCGGAAAGGCTCCGGCTTAAAGATCGCGACTTTCAGGTACGAAAGTCTTGCACGAAGTACACTTTCAGAAGACCGCTGTCAGATCGCAACTTTAAAACTACGAAAGTATTACTCGTATACTTTCGCAGGTCTGGGTCCACAGCTGGAATCACGTTGAAAAGTTGCTGTGTTGTGGCCGGCCGGGCTAAAACAGCGTGCAGCTGCCACTTGCCAAGGAAAGGGAAGCATGCACGCACAGGCATGAAATCAGCACTCACTTTCGATTATGTTTTCGGGCCACCCGTGGTTCTAGTTTGATGTCTCGCTTGCTTGCTTTCTCCTTTCTATTGTGGTTGCTTATTGGCTTGCTTGTTTGTATATGCTTGCCGCCCTATGCCTATGCAAGATTCCAGAAGCATTCGGGAATAGGGCTGCACATGACAGCGCTCGTGGTCAGTCTCTGCACAGTCCGCATGTGGGACGATGGCATCATGTGTCCTGTGGTGGCCTGCTCAACCGGCAACTGGTGAAGGCCCGATTCACTGTGCGTCACTTGCGGCTATTTCCTTCTAGGCACACACAGCGCAACGAATAGTCAGCTTCTAAGTGCTTCAAGCGCATGAGCAACTATATATACGGTATTTTCCGAGCGCTTTTCCCAACTCAAAGGCCTTGAGCCCTGAACAATCCCAAGTGTTTGAGCCTTTCAAATCTGACCAAACCACGAGGATCGATTTGGTTTACCATCTTTTGGCGTTTCCTCCAACTCTCTAGCAATGCCTGCGGAGCAACTCGAATCAGGAGCCCTGGTTGCGGCGAAGCTTGAGCTGGCCAAAGTGGAGGACGCCTGCAGTGAAGAGCCTGGCATGCGGATCAGCAGTCCATTGACAGCAACCATGGTAGACCTTGTACGAGGAATTAAGGGACCTGAGTGCCAGCCGCTAGGGCATCAGAGTCCTAACCCCTGCCAAAAAGATTGTCGAGGGGCCACGCAAAGATCAAGTGGCGGTGGAGACACTTTGCGAATGTTGGATTCAACCTCAGGAGCCTCTTTCACCAGAGGAGGAGGCCCTTGGCCCGCGCAGCATGCTGAAGCGTCCGGGGCCCCGGCGCTTGGGCAAGACCTAAGACATGTGTCAAATGGCGGATGCGGATCCTTCTTCCCAGCAGAAAAAGCTGGTTGCAACTGGGTCATCCCAAAGCAGAAGTGCATCTTTGCCGGAAGGCTCGCCCTCAAGAGATATTCCAATGAAAAGCCGAGGCCCGACACAGACCTTGCACGGTTGACGAGGCCTCTTTGGTTTTTGGGAGAGGATTCCCCTACATGACAAACGGGCCCCCAACAACGTTTCTTCTGGGGGCAGAGTCCCGTAATGGACCTGCCCAGGTGTAGGTCTACGAGTACGAGTACTTGTACTGCTTAGCAATTGACAATGTTTCAATGTGGGTCTTTTGGCGCGCGATTTACTACGTGCAAATCGGGGTGGTGTCAGCAGTCAATTGATTTCAGAACTGTTTTTGATCAATAGTAGCATTTGTAAAAAGAGTCGCCGTTGTTGGCAGAATGGAATTATGTTGGACCCTGCTTGCAGCTTTCATTGTGATGTGAGCATCTTCTAACGGAATGGCGTAGCCATCTAACCAGACGACGTGGGACTATCCTCAACATAATGCTTCTTGATGTGGTGCTTGAAAGTTTCCTGAGGACCCTGATCAGAAGTAAGTTAGGCAAACAGCCCCCCGCCTTTAGCTCGGACAGATTTGTGGCGCGCGCTCTGGCCGTACCGCGCACCATACTCAGGTGTGAGCATTGCACGGCGACGGCTCGTGGCCTGGCAAAAAGGACGCCGCGAATTATCCCGCCAGAATTATCCTGAATGGTATTAGCTTTTTTCACTTGCGGCAAACAATCCTCCCTTGATCGCAGCCAGTCAACCATCAAGTTCCCTGCAACGAGCAGTGCGAAAAGCAACTGGTTCTTGCTGGCACAGATGGTGCTTTCCGAGCAGCGCTATAGGTTGCGAACGCTTTCCGGCTCTGTTTACAGTTCTTCGGGCTGCAGGCGGAAATGTGTCCGAATCAATGACGCGCATCCCCTTCAAGGAAAGCTGTTTGGTTATTGCATTTTGCCAGCTGCAGCAGTGGGCGACGCCTGGGCTGCTGGCTGCTCGCGTGCTTCTGCATCGTCACGAGCCGAGCCCAACGTCAGAGGAAACTCCTGACAGATGCACTTTCAGATTGAGCAACCCAACTAATGAGCAGGTCATGTGAAGGTATCAGCAAACCAGACCAAAGATAAAGCATTTCAACGAAACAAGATCAGCCAAACGAGGCCAAGTCATGCCCAATGAGGCCAAACCAATGCAGGGTGAATCATGGCCAGCTCAATATGAAGAAGATCATCAAGCAACAAAAAGTCAGATCGGCCTAAGTGAAAGCTCGAGCCCCAAGCAAAATGAATGTCAAGCCAGACTGTCGTTCCAGACCAAACGTTATGGTGCCAAACCAAGCACAGCCAAGTAGACGAAAGCGAATGAATGGATCAAGCCAATGTCAAGCCAGACTGAGACACTATCAGGCAATCAGGCCAAGCCAGTTCCAGCCCAGGCAAGATGAAACTCAATGGCGCCCGTGCCAAAGACTTCACGAGGTCGAACCTGAGCCAACTGCAAGCACGACGACTTTGGCACGATTTCTGTGGTTGCGTTTCAATCATTTTGTGCCAGCCCTTTCTTGAGGGCAACACGCATGTCGAGAAGGTCGACACCTTGCTGGCCCTTGCCAAAGACAAGCAGGCTCGAGAGCCTTGGGAAGGTGGACAGGAAGGATCGTAAATCACCCTGAATTTGGGACGGTGCATTTGAGGTTGTTCACAGGCTTACCAGTGAAAGTTGGAAGACTTAGCGGCACGTGAAAGGCTAAACAGGTGCGCAATGGCCAAGAAGCTTGCTTCAGTAGGCAAGGCAAGACCGGGTCGGCCAAATGAAGCTCAGTTGAGGTCGCACAGACAGAAATCACATTGCTCAGGGTGCTCAACTGAAACGGAATGATTAAGCAGTTCAACGGTGCAGTCTTGCGCTGGATGGGGGTGGAGCGGCTGCACGGGCCCAGGGTTTATGCCTGATGGAGCAAAGTGCATTGAATCTCTTCTCATTGCAAAAGGCTTTGGAGCAAAGCGGTCATTTCCCACACACCTTCCCTGGACTAACTTATGCCCCTCAAGGATTGCAGAGGGGCATCAAAAGTGGATTTTTTGGAAGTGGCATGCTGTTCTCCTTGCTCGCAGCCTTCCCGGCCAAGTTATGTCACATTTGTTTTCTGTCCAGCAGAACTGAAGCGTGTGTGTTTTCCACTGGCCGGGAGCCAATAAATGCACCCAGGCAAGCACTTTCACACTTGGGGCCTTCTGAGCCACATTCTAGAAGGGCCCCCGATCGGCCTAGTCAGGAGGTAGCCAGAGAGAGGAAGTAATACTCCCCCTTCAATCAAAGAAAGTTTTGAAGGAACTTCCGTGGTACGGCAACTAGTTGAAAGCTAGCTCTCTGAGACAGATGACAAGAGCAGGAATAAGCCCGCGAGGAACAATGTGGCCCTGTGCGTGAATTGGCCTCTCAAAAGCTAGCCTGTCAGCGGCGTTTGGTCGGAGCGGGCTCGGGGCAGGCGCAGCACTTTGGCAAGGTCAAGTCTTCCCAAGGTTTGAATTGCGTGGCAGGCAGCACTTTCGCAAGGTCAGGTGCAGGTTTCGTGGCAGGCGCAGCACTTTCGCAAGGTCAGGTGCAGAATTCATGGCAGGCGCAGCGCGCAGCACTTTCACAAGGTCAAGTGCAGATTTCGTGGCAGGCGCAGTGGTCAAGTACAGATTTCGCGGCAGGGGCAGCACTTTCGCAAGGTCAAGTACATATTTCATGGCAGGCGCATCGCTTTCGCAAGGTCAAGTACAGACATCGCCGCAGGCGCAGCGCTTTCGCAACTTTACGTACAGTAGGGTAATACATAGAAAGTAGATAGTTAGAGAAACAGATAGATAGAGAGATAGATGGATAGGTAGATAGATAGATTGGGAAAAAGAGAGTTACGCAGATAGATAGATGGATAGACAGATAGTTAGATAGAAAGATAGATAGAGAGATAGAAAGAAAGATAGATAGATAGACAGATAAATAGACGGATAGATAGAAAGAGGGGTATACAGATAGATAGATAGATACATAGATAGATAGATAGATAGACAGAGAAAGATAGAGCAAACTAGATAGATAGTTAGATAGAAGAGATACATAGATAGATAGGTAGGTAGGTAGTAGGTAGGTAGGTAGGTAGGTAGGTAGGTAGGTAGGAAGATAGAGCATAGACAAAAGCAAGAACAGCGAAAAAACGAGCAAAAGGAAGAAAGAAAAGAAAGAAAGAAGGAACGAAAGGAGGAAGGAAGGAAGGAAGGAAGGAAGGAAGGAAGGAAGGAGGAAAGAAAGAAAGGAAGGAAGAAAGAAAGAATGACGGAAACAAGAGAAACAGCGAAAAGGAAGAACAAGAGAAAAAGGATCAAGAAAAGAAAGACAAACACAACTATAGTGTTTTTATTTTTGAAACTTCCGCCCATCGGAACAACTCATGAAGTGAAACAATTTACATTCACAGCAGTGCCCACTGCAGAAAAACTCCTTGTGAGGAGGCGTCCAGATAGGGCAGCAAAGCGCAGACACACAAGAGAAGCGTTGCATCAAGGGAAGCCGCAACTCATTATTCGCCTTATGAATGACAGGGTCTTGGGAAATGACGTGCGCAGAAGGTGCCAGGGACATTTCACAATGCATCGTTTAGCATTCAGCATGCGCCCAAGACGCATCCTCACCTGCGTGTAAAGTGTCTCACGGCGCCACCTTTCTGTTTCAGTTCATAACGTGGTTTTGTAACTTCCGGGTGCATCAGAGGAGTTCACTCCTTTTTGTTCATCTTTGCTGGCTCCCTCCCGGGCTTTTGCCTCCAGTCCTTCGGTCCGGTCTGCTCTGCAGGAGCACCCTGAGGCGAAACTGCTGGCAGAGCTAGACTCAGAGCCTCTCGGAAAGCAAACGCAGAGTAAATTAGGAGGTTCGGGGGCAATTCTGCGAGTGCTGTCCTTTGCACATCTTTGAAGCTTACTAAGACGGCCGTGGTTGGCTCTCGGTTAGCTCTCTTCGGTTTGCTGTTTTAGAAATACAGTTTGACACTGTACAAGAGACCAGTGCCAGGCACTTTGATGCACTTTCTTCCTTTTTTGGACCAGCTTCGGCGCCAACCCATGCTCCTGCTGAGGCTTTCAGCTTCCGCAAGCCAACCAATCCAAAAGCAGATTTGTGCTGAATTAGTGGCTGTTGGCTAGTGACTGGCGTCCGGTACCTGGTTGGTGACTAATTATTGGTCTGTGTCTAGTTTCTGGTGGGCGTGATAAGTTGCAGTGGGTGGATGTTAGCTTGTAGTGGGTGGCATTGGTTTGTGGCTGTGGTGCAACCCGCAAGCACAGCCCAACATGCCTATTGAAAGCGCTTTCAACAAGCACGTGACACGCCGTTGCAGGTTGGTCCTTCCCAAGCAACTGCCATCCTACAGTGGGCGTTTGTAGCAATCTTCCAAGCCTCTGTTTGGGAGTCCGGTACCGACATAGATGCAGAGCATCAGTGACTTGCTTCTCTTTTTGGGAGGCCTAGTTGCAATTTAAACTGCCATTTCCTGCAAGAATAGGGTATATGTTAAGTGTTAAGTTACCAGCGTTCCGGTGGTTTATCCGCAGCATACTGGCAAATCTAAACGATAGCAAGCCAAAAGAAAGCGATCAAAAACTTGAGATGAAGCAATCCAATCAATCCCAACTCCCATCAGCAAATATGAAATCAGCAGCCCCATCTCAACGCTGATGTGCAAAAACATGTGCGTCGTGTCAGGCTGGAGAACTTGGCACCGCGCCAGCTCTCTGAGTTGCTGCTGCTGCCGCGCTTTGACCCCAAGATAACCGCCAAGCTGCTGCGACGTGTGTCTCGCCAGGCCATGTTGAGAAGATTAGACGGATGTAGTGGACAGGCGGCGACCCTTGCAATTTCTTGTTTGGATTTGCAACATTATCTTCATGATCCGACTAACCTCGGTGCCACATAGCCCAAGCTTGTGGTGTTTTGTCTTCCCCAGCGGAAAAGCCAAAAGGAGATGGGAAACTGGCCCATGGTTACATGGTGCCCCTCAACCCAGCAATTTGAACCACGTCGTTGCAACCCAGCGATGCGTCACGCTACTTGAGAAGTTGTGCACGTTTCAAGGTGTAGGCAATATTTTTTGTGCCTGAGTTAGGACCCTTGTGGCGGTCGGGATTCAGAAAGGCTCACCGTTTGTGCAACCCCGCAAATTGGTCCCTGCCAGAATCAGGCACGACGCTGTTGGCAACCGAATGAACCTGAAACAACACTCAGCTTTTGAGACATATCCTTTTCGTATCAGATTTATTGGCGATCCATGTTGATTAGCAGGCCTTTCTGGAGTTGTGAGTGACGGGCTTCCAACTTGAATTTAGAGCGATTCCTCCGTTGCCCAAAGCAAATCGACCTGTCAATGTCTTGCTTCTCATGTTTAGCACAAATGCTTTGCATTTACCTCCAACCACACTTTAAGCCTTTAAGCATCCTTTCGGTTGGAAGCAAACAGTTTGAACTCGTTTGACGCCACGCCGGAGGCGAGTTTGCCCCGGCACTTCAGGGCTGAGACTCCTTTTTCCAAGTCTCGGCAAGCCGAAAGCGGAGGCGTCAGCCTTGGACAACCGGAACCTGGCAGCGGCGCTGCCGTGCCCCAAGAAAAGCGGGCGGTGTTCGCCAAAAATATGTGCTTATTTATGCCCGATTGTTTGGAAACACCCATATTTGTTGGTTCTTCAGATGCTGAGTGGATCCCATCTTGCTGTCGACGGTTTTCCAGCTTTCTCTCTTTCCCTGTTGCTGCGTTGCCATGCAGCCTGATGTCAATAATTTGTGGGGATATGCGCTTCCAAGAGGCCCAAAATAGGTCCACAGTCACACGAAACCCTCGCTCAGGTTGGCCATCGCCAGGCTGCAAGCTTCACGTGAACAGCAGGTGCTCGCTGAGGCGCTGGATGTAAAGTGGGCCAAAGCTAAAACTGCTATGCCCCGTGTATTTCTTGAAGCAAGTTGGTTCGAGGGCAAGCTGCCTTGATAGCCTCGAGCGATTTTTTCACTTCAGAATTCAAGGCCTAGAAAGCTCAATGTCGAGCAATCTCTTCACACCATGTGAGCCGTGTAGTATCCGCCTTTGTTGAGGGCTAGTGCCAGCTTTTGTTGTTTCTAGCAATACCAACTCCTGCACCAGATCTCACCTGGTGTGACCATTTGTTGCCGGTGAAGTGGTTGACACGTCCAACAGTCAACGCCTCTGCCAAAGTCAGGGTCCGATCCGCAAGTTCGCAAGTTCCCTGGCTGATATTCTTGCTTCTGACATACCTTTACGACTTGTGGCGAACAAATGAGCTGGCTGCCCCGCTCAAGTTGTGTGTTTTCCAGTTGTCTGAAAAGCTGTCCGGTCCGTGTGTTTCTTTTTCTGGCGGCCTTTTCATGGAGGGTTGACGAAGTTCCCTCCCATCATTCCGAAGATTGTTGTTTGTGCGACTGGCGGTGTTGAATGGCTCCTCTCGGCCCAATCTATATTTCAAGCTAATGCGGCTGGATTTCAGGTTCTTCGCACCGCGTTCGCCGCACACCCCACATTTTAAAGGGCGGATCCCCAATTGTGTTTGTTTCTTCGGAGGCGGCTTTTCGCCAGGCAGCCAGAGCCGTGGCCGCTTTGGAGCAAGCGGTCAGGAAGAGGAAGTTCCAGCAGTTGCAGCCATTAGAGGCAAAAGCTGCGCTTCCTCTCTTCAGATGTGTGTCCCTGTAAGGCCCACCCAGAAATGGGGGGAGTCTTGTTTTGCTTGGAGAAAGTCCGGGATGAACAGATAAGGCCGGGAGGAGAACCTGTTTGAGGCAAGGAAAAGGACGAAAAGTATCAGACTCCACGTCTGATTGATGAGGTTGGATGATTCCCACTGTCATACCAGGAGACCTTCATGAACCTTTCCCCGCATGAAATTGTCATGAACGCAAAGGGCTTGGGTGCGGTACAAAAGAGCTCATGTCCGGAGGCATTGGAGTATCCCAAGCAGCATAACGCTGAATGGGGCCCAATCAGGCCCAACCGGGCCCTTAGGGTGCTACCCGGCTGGCTCTTTGATTATGGAATTGTGTCTCTTTGTCGAATCCCGCGTGTTTTGTCCCCATTTGTTGTTTGGCCGTGCTTCCCGTTTGGCTTTGTATTTGTGTCCATCCACTGCAGTGCCAAGGGGTATTTGAACCTTTGCGGATTGAATGCCCTGAACCGCAGGCTGCCGCACTCGCTGTAAGCTGTGCCAAGGCGGGAGGAATAGTCACCGCCGATGGCAACAAAAATCAACAAGTTGACAAGTTGACAGGGCTCTGATTTTGATTCAAGCCGCGTTCACGGGCCGCCTTTTGTGGGAGTCTTTGTGTCGGAATGGTCTGCTCGAATTTCTCTTAGGCCACGGTGCGCCACGCTCGGTCCATGCGCTACTTCGGCACAGTTTTGGCGCAGTCCATGGAGGCAGGGAGAGCTCGTGAGAAAAAGAAGGCGGGCACGAAGGCTGCGAATCGCCGCTCAATCCAACGGTTCGGTATTTCTGCCGAGCCTGTGCAACATGGCAGCAAGCCAGCCTGAAAACAATAACCTCGGCAGCACAGAATCTGTTGCTTCCTTTGTTTCCCGTTTTTGCTTTGCAATGGAGCAAGTGCGCTTATCAATTTGTAGGCGCTTGTTGGTGCAAAAGTGCAATGAAAGGGAAGTTGTCTTGATATTTCCCAATGGCAAGGGCGTTGTCAGGTCCATGCTGATTGTGTTTTGTCCCCCGCCCGAGTGAACCTGTTGATCCCTTGCTTCAAAGCAATCCAGCGTTTGAAAGTGGCTGCCAAGCACCTTCGCCTTCGCCAGGAGAAGTTTGAACCGCCAACCCTGGGCCGCAAGGACCTGTTGGCGTGCCTGCGGGCCTTCGCAGCAGGGAAGCCTGGGGCATGGTATTTTGCCTCAACGCATTGGGGTCATGTCTGAAAACTAGGAAAACAAGTTGCACCGCTTTCATGCCGGTGCCCTGTTAAAACCGTGGCAAAGGGTCCAACTAGTTTCAACACCAGCCACTTCTAGATTTACGGTTCGCCTCTCTGGACAGCAATGACACACGAGTACATGTTTTATAGTCACGACTCGAACAAGCGTGCGCCGACAATATCGCCCCGGCTTTGGCTTTGCACTGCCTTTTTTTGCCCAACATGAGTGAGAAGACTCCGTGGTTGGCCATCCCCCTTCAGCCATCAGAACATGACTTGAATAGCAAGCAAATGGCCGCTGACAACAAAAGCTCAGGCCACTTGGTGCACGGAATGCGCCTTCCTGACAGCAGCGCAGAAGCATCTCTCAGGAGAGGCGGGCGGGGCGAGGGGCGCGCTTTGGCGATAGGACTCAATGGCTAGTCTTTGGTGTGACCTTCGCCCAATAGACCCTGTGGAAACAAATGGCATTTTCACTCAACCTACAAAAGGGTACACCTTTTCAAAGGCTATAAAGTTTAAAGGGGACCGTCCACCAAGGGGCCCCCTATTAAGAGCACTCACCAGTGGGTAAACGAGAAGGTACTTGGAAACTTGACCCCATCACACCATCCAAGGCGTTTGTCAAATCGTAGGCGATGGCTTCTCAGTGTAGCCATTTTTTCCAGGCAAATTCGAGAGAATCTCGCGCCAGCTCAGACGTCGAAGATCCTGTGAAAGCTTCAGGGCCCAAGGCCAGGCTCTGGAGGCGTCCATGTTTCTTTTGGAGGATTCATTGCCCAACTCACTGATATCGAAAGGCGCTATCGTCTTCATCCGCCTCCCGTTTTCATGCTCATGCCGCGCCCAGTGCCCATGGCCCTTCTCTTTCTTCTCTGAAGCCCATGAAATCAACTGTGTTTAGGGGTCGTTGAGGGCGGGACTGGGGTTCTTTCCCCCGAATGCCGACTCTGAGAATGGTAAGGTCAGACTTGAGCTTTTGGGGCCGCTCTCAGGCCTCAGCCCCTGCCAAAATGGTTCGATTGACAACCCAAAAAGGGGTTCGCCGTCAACACAATTCCTGAAACACGTATGGACCGTATGGGTGTTTCTGGGTTCCATGACAATTTTCAAGAGTGATGCGGGTCGAATAGCGGCGATGTTCTAAAGCCACCGCACCACTTCTGGCCACGTCCCGGCCGTGACATCGCCGCAACGAGGGCGTCGAGCTGTGTCTCGCAGTGGCACCGCTGCCTGCAGAGCACAAGACCCCCTTCGCCCAGGCCATGCAAAGGGCCTGGGGCCTGGGTGCAAAGTATCCCATCAAGCCACCCACATGAAAGGATCGAGTGGCAACACAAAGGAAGTGTTTGCTTTGTTTAAGAGGTCCTCCAAACAAAGCAACAACCGCAAGAGGATGGATGGTTTGTTTATCCCTCAGAAGGGCTGAAAACGCAAAATGGCTAGGTCTGACGGAGCCCAAGTTGACAGAAACAGTCAAACAAGTTGAGTCAGCCGCCATGAAGGTGGTGTTTGTTTGATGTCCAGTGTGACGAGATGCTGCTTCACCCAAACTGCTTCACATGGATTGAACGCACAAAGCGATTGGCAAATGGTTGAATGGATGAAGTTGAATAATGTGCAAAGACGAGCTTGTGGGGTGCTGTACAGTATGTGTGAGCTGGATCCTAGACATCCTTAAACGGGACTTTCCTAAAGAAGGGTTAACGAGATCATAGCAAAAACAGAAAAGAAAGTTCATTGATGGATCTCCCACCTTAGGGCCTTTTGCCCTTTGAGTATCACAAAGTAACTCCTGCGGACTCCACCGAAAATACAAAAGGCCATAAACTGCGGGAATATCAACATGCGCAAACCTGTGCGTGAGTGCTGCTTTGTTTGGGATTGCCATACAGCTCTGAGAAGCGGTGCTTTTGCAAGCCAAGGGCAATCAGCACTTGGCCATGATCACGGCAATTAAGCTGCAACATGGTCAAAGCCCACAAGTTGGCTTCTGATAAGCCCCATTTATCAAGGGAGCTTTCCTTGTTCGGTGGCTCCGGTGGCTCCCTGGCAACTTTCCTGATGAATTGCGCGGATCCCTGCCATATCCCTTTGGGCACATCCCGAAAGCTGGGTGCGTGCCAGGTCCTGCAGCCGGCGCAGAGTGACCTGGCATGGGAAATGTGCTCTCCGACAAAGGAGGGCCGGCTTGCCAAAACGGCGAATGCATATCTACGGGGCATGATTTTCACGAGCTATCATGGGAAGATGACCAGATGTGGGCAATGCACAGTTGGCCAGTTGTCCAGTAGAATCTATGAGTCCCTTTGTAGTAGTTTCCCTGTCAATCAACAAAGATGAATGTCCCCTGTCCATGCCCAATGCGGTAATTGCCTCCACACGTGGAAACATTCATGGCGATCGTTGGAAGCTCCTTACCGATGAGTCCGGTTCATGACTCACGACTATGTCAATTGTCGTTGAGCGTCATGTCAACTTCGGAATGTGGAGGAACCGTACTCACGGGGGTATGACTTTTCATGGACCATTCCAGCACTCACAGTGAAATCATCTCCGAGAAGTCTCGAGGGGGTTATCAATTTGAACACTGCTTAGCTCTAAGAGCCAATTGAAATCCGCTTCACGCCTCGAGGCTTGACGAGTTTGGTGAAGTTGGCAAGTGCGGCGGGCAGTGCTGGTCTTTTGGATGAGGCATTGCCACTTGGCATTTGGGAGGGTCAACTCTCCAAGCCCTGTTGAAGAGTTGATACGAGGGGCCGTTTGGGGTGTCTCAACAAGGGTAACACGAAATGTCATCTTTATCGGGCCCTTGGACCCATGTTCTCTTTGGGCTAAGTTCTATTGTCCGCTTCAGACCACTGGTCGTCTTCGGACTCTTCAGGAGCGGTTCGCTTTTGGTGGGGGGTCGTTTCAGTTGCTACGGTGCTCTCGGTGAATCCCCATTCACCACAAGGGCCTCTCGGAACAAGAAACACATCCCCAGAAGGAGACCAGAAGTGCCGATCGCACAGTTGCCAACAGTTGCAAGCCAGAACAAAGCCACGCAAACCAGCCAGTTGTGCCGTGGCACCTCATGTTGTTTGTGTGGGTGGGTTTCCTAATTACAAACAGAGAAGAGGGGGGTCCTGTTCCCCCGTTCCTTTGGCCACTGGGCAATCTAGCCGTGTGTGTGTGTGTGTGTGTTGCGCCTTGCTGGAATTGGTACACGAAGTTCGCACTGAGAGGTGACGAGATATTCGTGTTGTTTGGGCCGCAAACAGTTGCGAAGACACGGGCAGAAGGAGCTGAGGCGTGCGGAGATGGCCGAGCGCCTGCAGTGGCTCATCGTCGAAGGCAGGGAAATGTCTAGGCCTGAAACATGCGAAAACAACAATGTAGGGATGTGACAGAAAAGCTGAAATCAATAATGTAGGAGCAAACCTGCTTTTGACATATCCCTATTGTTTGGTCATGTACGTGGTTGTCATGCGGGGCGAACGACTTCCTCTTGATCTGCGGGCTCGCCTTTCTCCGCTGTTGCTCTTGAACAATTCAAAAAGGGCACGTGGTTCTTGCTATGGGTAAAGCACTGGTTGCAAGGTAAGCCTGGGTCCTACTTCGTCTATTTGGGTGAGTCTTTTTTGCAAGACCCCAAAAAGATGTGGTTGTCCCTTTTCTTGCCGAGTTGCCAAATGGCCAAAGCGGGCTATAGCATGATGCATGGGTCCCACGAAAGACCCTGACGTTTCCAAGCCCTCTGGTGTTTACGTGATACGCAGGGCTTTTTCCCAGTGCTCACGGCGTATCAAAGATTCAAGCTATGGCCTCAGTGTGATTAAAAATGTGCTTCCCTGGTTTGGTCTGGGCTCCATTCCGGCTTCATTTGCGGAGGACTTGCACAAAACCTCGCACGAAGTGTTTGAGGCGCAGATGAGCTAAGCCTGCGAGATCTGGGGGGCGCCATGGCAGCGCTAGGACGGGCTGATCCACAGTTCAACCGATTGCAAGCCCGCCCTGGGCGGTTTCTTCTGGGTTTTCCCTTCCAACCACCCCAATCGGGCACCTTCAAAAAGGCAAACTTATGTATGAGAGTGATATGTTCCCTTTACGAACGGCTGTCCTTTTCCAATTCAATGACTCCCTCACGTGTGTCAAGGCGAGGCGGGCTGCAAGGGTAGGAAAGGTCTTCAGAAAAAGCTGACCAAGAAACCATTGCCATGTGCGGTGGATCTCCGGATTTGACATTATGCGATTCCAAGAAAACTCGGGGGCACCTTCGGTCCATTGCCAAGACTAGTTGCGTCCCCTAGATTGTTGGCACCAGCGCACTGCATTTTGTCCGATGCTCAGACACAGGACCTGGGCATTTAGCGGTGGATCTTTTGGCGAAGCAAGCGCCTTAGCTGAGTTGGACAGAAACAAACTTTTAAACTCGTGTTCCTCATGGTCAACGCTTACATGCACTGTTCCACCTTTGGCGCATCACACAACACATCACAGAAACATCTCTGCAACTTCTTCCTGATTTTTGCTTAGGGTGGGCTGCAGCTGGAACTGCGGCGCTCAGTGCTATGCTTCATTTACCTGAGTTTTGAAGCAATTTGGCAAGGAAATCCGTTTGGTTTCGGTATGCCTTGCCCCATCTGGGAACCTGGGCAGCTGGCATCGCCCCGCAGGTGTCCAATTGAAAAGAACCGATGCAAGATCCCCTTCCAAGGGAGCCACGAGGAATGTCTCCATATACTGGGCTGACATCATGGCAGTTGCATGTAGGCTGCAGGGGCATTCCAGATCCCACTTGGTTGCATGCTGCATCTTTCGGAGCCAGCACCTTAATCTGATTTTGAAACAGTTCTGACAAGCCGCTAGGCCAAAGAAGCTAAGGCTGCTACAGCCGCCAAAAGTTCCAGCCGCTTTCAAGATGTTGTCGACTGCGCTGAAGCCATTGCTGAACTTCCGCGGACCAAGGCTGTGTTTTGGCAGGAAAGTCCCCTTCGTTGAGTCAGCTCCTTGGTTGTAGGTTCGGCACCATGTGTAGTAATTGAAAGGGGATCAAACTCTAGTGTCAGTCGGGAGCACGCTGAAGATAGCAGCTCAGCGTGTCAAAAGGCCAAACGACCCTTGTTGGGAAAAGAAAAAGTGATTAGTTGAGCCACACCTTTTTATTCGGGTTCAGGACCCAAGAAGGGGCACCATGATGGAACTCTTCGCAGAAGATGCAACCTTCTTTCCGACTTGTGCGCAAGTTGAACTGTTACCCTTGGCAAACAGTGCGGCAGACCCCCGTTTTTGAGAGCAGGCGTGTCAACAGTAACACGTTTGACCATGTGGGTTTTCACCTTGTGACGCGTCATGTACTTGACATGGTCTTGACATGGTCTTCACACGCGTGCCATTTTGGCCCAAGTGGTGGGATCAAGTGGTAGTTTTGGGGTAGCTGCCCGCCCGCCATGGTCGTGTGATTTCTTGCTTGCTTGCCCTCGTGTGTGATACTTTCTCTGGGATCGTTGGCTTTTGCGACGCTGGTCTTTTTTCCGGACGAAAATGCGGCATTTCAGTCGGAAGTTACAGTTTGGTTTTCACGATGTGGAACAGCCTCTTTCCTACATTTGCGATTTGAGCAAGTGGCGCACCTTCTGCATGCAGTCTCCGAAGGCAGCCTTGCGGATCGTCAGAGACAACCTGGCGCGGATCTCTATTGGCAAGTTGAGGTCGGGGTTGCGCATATGCTGCCTTTTCGAGGATCTGAAGGGGCTTGACGACGTGCAATCTGAAATCTTCTGGGCCTTTTTGCGTGACTACTGGAATTGTCCTTTTTCTTCGCTCTTTCATTCCGGCTTCTCGGTTAGGTGGCATGAAAACACGACCTGGACATGGTGATTTTGCACCATCACATGCCCCGTGCATCGAGCCAGATGATGACATGGTGAAAGCAGACACCTGCATCACCCCTGAGTCCGGATCAGAATTCCTCTGATGTGTGCGAACTATGGATACGTGGACCTGTTGGAGTTAGAGCCCAGGTGATTTCGGTTTACAAGATGTCTACGTTGGCTTTCCGGGCGCAGGTTGATGGAAGGCAGGTGCCATGGATGACACCAGCATATTTGCTTTGTCGCCAGGTTGTTCTTATTACCGCTATTGGCCTTCTTGGAGGATCCCCGCATACTGATTTGCAGTCTGCAACGGGAGATGCAGTCTGCAACGGGAGATGCAGTCTGCTGATGTGCTGCTGGCTATTCTACTACCTTCTGCTCAAGGCCCTTTTCAACTTAAGGTCCCGGCCTTTGCCTCGCCGACGCAGTGTTTGCAAATTGTGAATCTTCAGCACTTGGATTCCTTGTGTTTCGTTGACAAGCAGCATGCAGATCCTGCTACATTGGCATGGCAATACAAGGACAAGGTTATTTTCTTGGGAGAGCCGAACCGGCCTGTGGTTTTTCAGCAGCCTGCCGTTGACAAATTTCCATGTTCCGACTATTTTCAGGAAGCTGCCCTGCACACGACCGGTACAGATTGCAATGTTTGTTCCTTGCTTTTGAAGCAGGTTCAGCCGCGAGCATGCCTTGAAGGAGTTTGGACATTTCAAGCCGCTGTTGCAAACGAGCCCTCGCAAGATTCAGGTGAAGCAGCCAGTGTGCTGATCTTTACTACAGTTGCATTGCCCTGTGTTGATGGTGACCTTTGCCTGTCTCTTTACAACGTGGTGAAACGCTGTGCAGTACCCGAATTTGTCTTCCTTTCTGAGGTTTCCAGCTACTGTCTAGTGCCAGGCGGAGCCCTTCGCGACTATGGAGCTTTTCTCAGGAGGAGTTGCAGGCTGGAGTCAACAAGCCATTGACACGTATGAGCATCTCACAGACGTCTTCAACATGCGAATGGTGCTTGATCATGATCCCGTTGCAATCCAAACATATTGCAAGAACTTTGATGGTATGCAGCTTTCCAGCCAACAGGTGATGGACAAGACTCTGTTGGCCGCCAAGGTTTGTGTGTGCGAGGATTTTGACGTGTACAACATCCATTGTCTCCAGCGCAGGCTGCAGTGCGTGGTTTGGATAGCGCGTTTACCGTGTCAACCCTGGTCCAGTGCTGGGCACCAAAAAGGTCTTCAGGATGACAGATCTGCTTGGGTGACCTTTATGAAGGCAGCTCAGGTTTGCAGGCCGCGGGTCATTCTCCTGGAGAACGTCAACAACATCTGCAGGCACAGACATTTTCCTGATTTGCTTGAACTGTTTAGGCACGCGTCCTTTCAGCTACAATGGCAACGATCAGACAATACGCCCTCTCTGCTGGGGGCCACCTCCAGGACACGTTCTGGTTGACATGCGTGTTCTGTCCAGCTTTAGTGACGTATGCATGCCTTCCTTCAATCCTTGGATATTGCAGCAGTTTCAAACTCGCCCGTCAGCGGCCTTGCTAGCTGAAATGCCGGACCAGCATTGTGCCAACCTTGGAGTGCCCTGTGAAGTTTTGCCTACGTATCAGGAGCCAGACTTTATGCCTGGCTATGTTCGTGATGTGCTCGGCCACAGAAATTTCCTGGTGTCTGGCACTATGGGAACAGCAATGGCCGCTTACACTACACAGCATGACATGTCTACCCTCGCGTTGAGCTCCCGTGGGATGCATGCTTCGCTTGTGCCTGAACCGCTTGCGCCCTCAAAGTGGCGTTTTCTGTCGCCCTTTGAGTTTGCACTTGCACACATTTTTGCCGCGGCCTTTGGTGCTGCCTACTTGCTTGCGCAATGCCACGCGGTTGGTTGGCAATTCCATCACTGTGCCACAAGCATTGGTAGGGCTCTACGTTGCGGCAATTGCGCTAGGGGTGACAGGCCTGCCGCATCCCGAGCAGGCTCTTGTGCAGGCGCTGAACATGAGACTGACCGCAAGCAACTCTGAACTTGTTCTGGAATCGGAAGGTTGGTGGAGGCTGGCCAAATGCGCTGTAGGAATGATAAGGGCCTTTCATTTCTGTGTCACTTGCTTCGTGTGCCTGTGGAGCAACGCAGCGTTGTCATGCGGCTCGGATTGGAGCAGTTGGCCATGCGCTCAGATCCGAGTGTTTGTGTGCTTGGGTGCACCCTCGACAGCGACGACACTTTCATTTGCATCCCTGCTGAAGGAGATAAGTGTAGTGCCAGTGCTCGTGCCCTGTTTGCGCGGGTTGCGACCTGCCTTTGCCACTACCAGGGACCTGTTTCTCTGTCGAGGATTTCCTCTTTTATTCGTGTTGATTGTGACCGGGCTTTCTCTTGGTTCGTCCGAATTGACTACCCTGCACACACACAAAGCACATTTGTGATGAGTTGTTGCAGCTGCAAGCGCAATTTGTGGAAGTGCAACTCCAAGTTTCCGAAACTCGTGATCCGGGGGGTTTTCCTCTTGCAGTTTGCACCATCACTGAGGCCTCGCATGACCATGCATCAGATGCCAGACCTTTCAAAAAACTGAAGCAGACGCCTGATATCGTTGACTCCCGCCAGGTTGGGCTTGAGGGGCTTGAGGCGTGGGGCCGTGATGGTACCCGCTTCAGTGATACGCCCTTTGTGGAAGTTGATGCGTCTGAGTTGTGCACTCCCCTTGGCTGCAATACAAAGTGCGTCTTGTGTTTCGGAGCTGCTGGAAGCCCCACTGCTGAGATCACTGTTGACGCTAGGTCTCTTGTCTGGGATGTTGTCGGCATTTGTGCAGGACCTGCAGCCATCAAGTTGCATGAAGTACGGGCTCAGGGTCGTCCAGTCCCTCTTGACGCCATTGCTAGTGTTAAAACCCTCTAGGCCCCGTGCCGAAATTGGGTAGCAGTTCTGAGGTCCTTGTTGGTGTTGCTTCCCAAGTTCCATTGATCGCCATTTGGCTCAAGACACAATTGAGGTTCAAGATCTGATGTGTGACTGCATACATACGTGATCGGCATTGAAAGCGGAAAACACTTCGCTTGCGCTGCATTTGTCAGGACCACTGTTGTAACTATCATTCCTTCTCCCTTACAACGTTTACACGGGTTCGGCTATAACGGCATCGTCCGTATACACCTTTCTACGTGGTTGGTATTACAGCTTGAGGGTTCGGTGCATAGCGTCCCACGGGACGTCACCTTGCCGTCTCTTGACAGGTTATCAGCCGTAACTACAAGCTCTACACTGGACTGGGAGACAGCTGGTTTATTGCGGGTACAGGGACAATAAAGGAACGATAACCTACACAGTACAATGGCGTCTTCGGCGAGCCCAAGTACTGCAACTTTTGGGAACAGCAGCTCAGAGGGATCCAATGGATTGATGGCTCTTCCTGCGGTGATGGATATGATTGCGGATTCACAGGATGAACCTGGGAGCGGAGGTTCCGCGCTATTCAGCGACATTTCCACTCCCACAAGATCATGGAAGCAGATCGATGTTCATCAGGAGTCGAAGAAAAGAGAATCCCCACCGAGAAGATCATCATCTTCGCCTGCGACACCGCGGACGTCGCAGAAGGGCGTGAGATCGACATCGAAGGGTGGGAGGTCAAAATCACCCACCAGTGCGGAGTTTCGCGCCGCGATCAAAGAGAAGAATAAGATGGAGGTGGAGATCGGGGAATATCAAAAGACACTTGATGAAATGTCGGCAGCTATGGCGAATCTTCATCAGGAAGATTATGGAAGCACCATCCGGATCCAGGAGCTGGAGAGACGATGCGAGATTGCTAGCAAGCAGTCGGGACATCTAGTGAGTCACCACCAACACCACATGGCTGAGGCATGGCGCAAGTTTGAGGAAGAAGCCCAACAGATGCGCAAGGTGGAAATGAACGCATTTCAGTACGGGGAGAAGAAAGACATGGAGTCGAATATTATAATGCAACAGATGAGACAAGCTGAAGGAACTATCATGGAGCAGAAGCGGGAAATTGCATTGATGAAATCCTACATGGCAAGCGAGAAGTCGGCTGCGCAGGAATCAGCTATACGTGCAAATCAGATA